ATCCTTGCTGGGTAGAGTAATCTTGGTTGTAGGTTTTTCTCCTTCATCACCTTAAATATGTCCTGCGAGTCCCTTCTGGCTTGCAGAGTTTCTGCTGAAAGATCAGCTGTTAACCTTATGGGCGTTCCCTTGTGTGTTATTTGTTGTTTTTCCCTTGCTGCTTTTAATATGCTTTCTTTGTATTTAATTTTTGACAGTTTAATTAATATGTGTCTTGGCAGGTTTCTCCTTGGATTTATCCTGTATGGGACTCTCTGTGCTTCCTGGACTTGATTAACTATTTCCTTTCCCATATTAGGGAAGTTTTCAATTATAATCTCTTCAAATATTTTCTCAGTCCCTTTCTTTTTCTCCTCTTCTTCTGGAACCCCTATAAGTTGAATGTTGGTGCATTTAATGTTGTCCCAGATGTCTCTGAGCCTGTCCTCAATTCTTTTCATTCTTTTTTCTTTCTTCTCCTCTGCAGTAGTTATTTCCACTGTTTTATCTTCCAGGTCACTTATCCGTTCTTCTGCCTCAGTTATTCTGCTATTGATCCCTTCTAGAGTATTTTTAGTTTCATTTATTGTGTTGTTCATCATTGCTTGTTTCATCTTTAGTTTTTCTAGGTCCTTGTTAAATGTTTCTTGCATTTTCTCTATTCTATTTCCAAGATTTTGGAAATAGAATCTTTACTATCATTATTCTGATTCTTTACTATCTGTATTCTGAATTCTTTTTTCAGGTAGACTGCCTATTTCCTCTTCATTTGTTAGGTCTGGTGGGTTTTTATCTTGCTCCTTCATTTGCTGTGTGTGTTTCTGTCTTCTCATTTTGCTTATCTTACTGTGTTTGCGGTCTCCTTTTTGCAGGCTGCAGATTTGTAGTTCCCGTTGTTTTTGGTGTCTGTCCCCAGTGGCTAAAGTTAGTTCAGTGGGTTTTGTATGCTTCCTGGTGGAGGGGAGTAGTGCCTGTGTTCTGGTGGATGAGACTAGATCTTGTCTTTCTGGTGGGCAGGTCCACGTCTGGTGGTGTATTTTGGGGTGTCTGTGGACTTATTATGATTTTAGGCAGCCTCTCTGCTAATGGGTGGGGTTGTGTTCCTGTCTTGCTAGTTGTTTGGCATAGGGTGTCCAGCACTGTAGCTTGCTGGTCATTGAGTGAAGCTGGGTGTTGGTGTTGAGATGGACATCTCTGGGAGATTTTTGCCGTTTGATATTTCGTGGAGCTGGGGGGTCTCTTGTGGACCAGTGTCCTGAAGTTGTCTCTTCCACCTCAGAGGCACAGCACTGACTCCTGGCTGCAGCACCAAGAGCCTTTGATATATACGGCTCAGAATAAAAGGGAGAAAAAGTGGAAAGAAAGAAAGAAAGAGGATAAAAGTAAATAAAATAAAGTAAGATAAAATAAAGTTATTAAAGTAAAAAACAATTATTAAGAAAAAAAATTTTTTTAAGTAAAAAAACAACAAAAGAGGAAGGATAGAACCCTAGGACGAATGGTGAAAGCAAAGCTATACAGACAAAATCTCACACAGAAGCATACACATACACACTCATGAAAAGGGGAAAAAATCATAAATCTTGCTCTCAAAGTCCACCTCCTCAATTTGTGATGATTCGTTGTCTACTCAGGTATTCCACAGATGCAGGGTACATCAAGTTGATTGTGGAGATTTAATCTGCTGCTCATGAGGCTGCTGGTAGAGATTTCCCTTTCTCTTTGTTAGCACAGCTCCCGGGGCTCAGCTTTGGATTTGGCCCCGCCTCTGTGTGTAGGTCGCCGGAGGGCGTCTGTTCTTCGGTCAGACAGGACGGGGTTAAAGGAGCAGCTGCTTCGGGGGCTCTGGCTCACTCAGGCCGTGGGGAGGGAGGGGTCCGGATGCGGGGCGAGTCTGCGGCGGCAGAGGCCGGCATGATGTGGCGTGACGTTGCACGAGCCTGAGGCGCGCCGTGCGTTCTCCTGGGGAAGTTGTCCGTGGATCCTGGGACCGTGGCAGTGGCGGGCTGCACAGGCTCCCCGGAAGGGAGGTGTGGAGAGTGACCTGTGCTCGCACACAGGCTTCTTAGTGGTGGCAGCAGTAGCTTTAGCGTCTCATGCCCGTCTCTGGGGTCTGCGCTGTTAGCCGCGGCTCGCGCCTGTCTCTGGAGCTCCTTTAAGCAGCGCTTTTAATCCCCTCTCCTCGCGCACCAGGAAACAAAGTGGGAAGAAAAAGTCTCTTGCCTCTGCGGCAGGTCCAGACTTTTCCTGGACTTCCTCCCGGCTAGCCGGTGCACTAATCCCTTCAGGCAGTGTTCATGCTGCCATTTCCCTCCCTGCACTCGACCGAAGCCCAAGCCTCAGCTCCCAGCTGCGCCCGCCCCGGCGGGTGAGCAGACAAGCCTGTCGGGCTGGTGAATTCCGATCCTCTGTGCGGGAATCTCTCTGCTTTGCCCTCCGCACCCCTGTTGCTGCGCTCTCCACCGCGGCTCCGAAGCTTTCCCCCCTCCGCCACCCACAGTCTCCGCCCGCGAAGGGGCTTCCTAGTGTGTGGAAACCTTTCCTCCTTCACAGCTCCCTCCCACTGGTGCAGGTCCCGTCCCTTATCCTTTTGTCTCTGTTTATTCTTTTTTCTTTTGCCCTACCCAGGTACGTGGGGACTTTCTTGCCTTTTAGGAGGTCTGAGGTCTTCTGCCGGCATTCAGTGGGTGTTCTGTAGGAGTTGTTCCACACGTAGATGTATTTCTGATGTATCTGTGGGGAGGAAGGTGATCTCTGCGTCTTACTGTTCCGCCATCTTCCCCTGTCCTCCCAAAGTCATTTTTTTAAAAGTAAAATTTCCTCAGTGAGATGGCTTTAAGGTTTTAGTTTCTTCCTCATTCTGATTACAGTATTTGATAGAATGTTTTCCTTTTTCAAGCAGGTTTCTTTGCAATTGGCAAGAGGAGAGATATTGCAGGAAGAGTTCTCATTGCTTGTGTCCTCCCAATTTTTCCCCTTATAGACACTCCTCTGATGTTATAAAGGGAACATGTGGTTCGTCCTGTAAAAATTTATTTTACCCTGTTTAGGATCACATTTATTTAATTAGAGGAAATTAAAATGGGCAAATTAAAACAACAAATCTAAAAACTGGTTTTTCCCCCCAAAAGGAACATCTAGAAAGATATGGTAATTGTTTAAAAGTTTTCTTTTTAGTTATAAAAGTAAACACACTTCATGCAGAGTAAGTTGGCAAATATTTTTAAAGAGAGGAAAACTGAGTACTGAAAGTTAAAATGACCAGTTCATTTAAAAAGTAAATAAAACAATCCATAGATTTCTAAATTTCACAATTAACTCCTATTTTGCTTTTGTTAAACAAACCATGGTGTATTTCTTTCTAAAGAGAAATGTATTAACAATTTGGGAGATAACACTAGAATTGGCTCTTGACCACGTAATCAAGTGACATCCTTGAAAAGGCTGAGAGATGGAACTGGGCTCATTAATTTCCAACATCAAATCTACTGCATATATCTTCCTGTTTGAACTCTCATGTAATTGAAGAGAAACAGTGATCTAAGGCCACATTAGGGGAAGGAAGTATGAATTTCAGCCAAATTTTATGCCCTTGAGTATGTACTAGCTGTAGCTATGAAGCATTTTTCCCATTTGGACAGCAGTAAAGTTGGGTGACTGTTCAGAGCTTCTTCTTACCCTTTGGGCTTTATCCTTTCAAGGACAGGACACATCCAAGGGTGGGTTTCTAACCAGGTTGCTTTCCTAGCTCTTTTGGTGTGTTCCTATCCATTTGAGGAATCAAGTTTCCTCTTGATTCCTGGGTCATTGTTTCTGTTATGGGCTGAGTTGTGTCCCATCAAAATTCATATGTTGAAACCCTAACTCCCCAGTACCCCAGAGTATGACTGTATTTGGAAATAGGGTCTTTAAAGAGGTAATTAAGTCAAAATAAGGTCACTAGGGTGGGATCTAATGCAATATGATTCATGTCCTTAAAAGAAGAGGAAATTTGAACACAGACATAAACAGAGGGAAGACCACATGAAGACACAGGGAGAAGATGGTCACGTACAAGCCAAAGGGAGAGGCCTTAGAAGAGACCAACCCTGTCAATACCCTGATCTTGAACTTCTCACCTCCAGACTGTGAGAAAATACATTTCCATTTAAGGCATCCAGTCTATGGTACTTTGTTATGGAATCCCTAGCAAACGAATACAGCCTCTAATGGATCATCACTTGACCACTGTGAATATTAAGTTCTACTAGGTCAGGGCAGACACCCAACTAAATGGCAGCCCATGTATTACTCAAAGGCTCGGAATATTTACATCAATCATTTCTCTTTTTTATTCTTAGTACTTTTTAAAAATCAAATAGTCGTAGTTTATAGTTTCAAAATATTACATAAGTTTAGCATACTATATATCTCCTGAATTCTATGTGATTTTCTACAAAATATGCATTCATGTAAAATGTATCAAGCAAATATGTTTTTGGACTTTCAGAGCAAGGGGAAAAAAATCTTACTTTAGATGTTTGATCATAAAACTTTTTTATTCTTGGGGGAAGTTACTGAACATTTCTGTACAACGATTTCCCCTCTAAAACGGGGGACAATAATAGTAGTTACCTCTTGGAATTTTTGAGGATCAAATAAGATTTTTACTTAGAATAGCACTGGCACACGATGTTTGTTAGAAAAAAAATGCTTTGGAATCTTACTGATTTTTAAAAGATTTAGCAGCTCAGGAATGAATTTGCACAAACATACATACATATGCAAATATTTTTTCTCTTAATATGCTCGTATTGATTTTTTTTTTTTTTTTTTTTGTCCGCACCACACCGATTGCAAGATTTTAGTTCCCTGACCAGGGATCGAACCTGGGCCCGTGGCAGTGAAAGTGCAGAGTCTTAACCACTGGATCACCAGGGAATTCCCTCTTGTATTGATTTAATACCAGAACGGAAGGAAAAACTTTGAAGACGCAGGTACCTACTCTGAGAAGTGGTGTTATCTTTCCTGTTCTTTTTTAGTACTTCTGAGTTGCTTGCCTTCAGGAGAGAGCATCTGACCCTTCATAAAGACCCACAGGCCTTTCGACTGCTCTCCTTCTGGACTCCATCACTGCAGGATGAGACCAGGACCACTTCTGAGGACTGAATTTTGGAACCTCTGACTCTCCCTCCTGCCCTTTGTTTCCTGAAGTCTCCAGTTTATTAATGTGGAATTGGGAGAGGTCATCTTCCTGAAGGTCAGTGAAAACTTTTTTTTTTGGATAGGTAAGAAGTAGATTTATTAATATAGGATGCTTGTGAAGGATACAAGGGGGCAGGCAAGAGGGCTCTGCCCTGGGGTGAGAGAGGATGGTCACGTCCCAGGTCTCTGGCGAGTTCCTGGGGCGGGCCTCCAAGTGAGGGCCCTTGGCTTTGCGCGGGAAAGAATTGAAGAGCGAGCCATAGTAAAGTGAAAGCAGGTTTATTGAGAGAGATACACACTCCACAGGCAGAATGCAGTCCATCTTAGAAGGTGAGATCCCCTAAGGTCAGTAAAAACTTGGTGCTCCCAGGTCCTCAAACATACATGGAAGTTTCCTCTGCTCAGAAATTTATCCCTCCTTCAGGAAATTCATTAGGGTTGGTAAGCATTAAGGGAAACATTCCTGTTAGCTATGACACCTTAGAGTTTATTACTTAAATCAGATAATCACATTCCTCCTCCTGATGCGAAGCTGAAGCTGGAGGTGAACTGGTGTTTGAATGCTGGTGATGAGGCAAGAAGGTGGGCCTGAGCGGCAGGAGGGTGCTGGAGAGTGCAAGAGGTAGTGGGAAGGATACAGACAGCACTGGGAGGGGGGCACTTAGAGCGGGCAGCAGGATAAACCAGTGCTGTTTGCAATATTGTTCAGGGCCCTTGGAGCCTGCTGTTGCCTAAAGAGGACAGTTTCTCCACTCACCTCCTCCCGCCCTCGTTTCTCCCCCCACCACCCCATTATTTACTTCTGGGTGAAGGGCAGCCCGAGGCACAGCACTGCTGTAGATGGAAGTTACCCTCTCAGGCCTCATATTTTATTACCTACCTCTCCCATTTCTCCCTCAGATTCCCTTCCTGCTATGCCCAGGCCTAATCTCAGTCCAGAACCTACTGTTTATTCCTAGCTGGCCTGGGTCAGGGCTCCCACTTGGGGCCCACATTCAGACTTGTGTTCCCTCCTCTAGAGATACTCAGCACATTCTCACCCCTTTGCCTACACAGTGTCACTTCCTTAGGAGGCCTTGTCTGAGCCCCTGAATGAGGTTAGGCTTCTCTAAGACCTATTCCCGGTAGCATAAACCTATCCTTCACAGCATCTGCCTCAGCTGGCAATGGCACATTTATCTGTATGATTGGTGATTAACATGTATATCTTATGTTAGATTAGAAACCCCATGAGGGAAGACACATTTGCCTTTTTTACCACTGTGTCGCAGGCCAAGTACAATGTCTGGCATGGAGTAAACTCTTGATAAGTGCTTGTTCTAATGAGTAAATGAGGACCCCTTGGAGCATGCTTGTGATTCCTCTGCTTGACATCCAAGGAATGAAGCATCCTCATCTTCTAAGGAGGCTAGTATATGAACATGAACTGAGTAGTTTGGAGAGTAGACCAGGCATTTTCAACACCTCCTAAAGCTCTGGCCCACTTGACTTCTATGCCCATGGATCTTGGGAACATTAGCTATGGATGGGTGTAGCATGGGTGGTGGGGTGCAGTGGGGCTGCTTTTTCATAAGAATTGCTTGCTGGTGGTTATGGAGATTTATGAGTCATGATTTATGGGTTTATAACTCCCTTCCAGAAGAACAGAAATTCATTAAAGGTCCTTTCCTCTGTAATTTCAACCATTGCTTTCTCCTATGAGGGAGGACTATAATTACCTAAAACCTTATTTGGGCTGATTTTGCAATTGTTGACAAATGGTAAAAATTTGCATTTTCTCTGGATTTTGCGCAGTGCTGGTGTATTCATTACTTTATATGGTTATAACTCAAAGGCTTTAATAGAACGACTTATTTCTCATTTCTGTGGTTAGTAAAAATAGAAAAGTGAAGTCTCACTTTTGTAGTCTGTTGTGGAATTTTGATTATTTGTTTGAAAAGAAGCTGTTTTTTTCCACAATCATGAAACAACTGCCAAACCTTGCTCCAGTGTAACCTATACCTGAGTTATGATGATGAGAGCTGCTTACATCTCTGTTACCTACAACACGTATGTCTACGAGTGTTAAAAAGTACCAGTGTGAAACCGAGTTTTAGAAACACTTGGAGTTATTCGAGGTGGCTTTTTATTTTCTGAGACTGGAAGCTGGACTGTTCAGTGCTGAGTGAGAGTTTCTAGTGCTTTGTGCTCCATGGTGAGGGTGTGGGCAGTGGAGATCGATGTAAAGGTGTGAACTGAATGATTCATAGTCTGCTTATTTAATGTTCGTGGAGCAAAAATACAATTACCTAACTGAGACCAGAGACCATGCCTTCTGGTTGAAATGGATTTCATTCCACTGAAGATTTGAGCTTCATAGTTGATCTTAATATTTCATAATTGTGAGAGACCCTCTGGGTCAATGGGAATGAACTGGGAAAGGGACTAGAGGACCGGTTCCAACTCTCCTACTTTCTATCCATGTGACATTGGCCAAGATATTTAACCCCTGACATCTCACTTCCATCTGTGAAATAGAAATTGTAATAGCTGTCCTAACCTGCCTCGTGGCGCTTGTGGTGATGACCAAATAAGACAAGGTAGGTCGATTGCAAAAAGGATTGTGTAAATGAAAGATATTATTTCACTACATCACATTATTTATTTTTATTTTTGCATGTGTAATCCTATTTCCTCAACCTATTCTAAGGTGTAAAAAAAATTAGCCATACTTATTAGTCATAGTTCAGTTAGAGAGGCAGAAGCACTAGGAGATATAATATTGATATTTGTTGTTATAGCCATTTAACTTTACACAATTATGGAAGCTGGTTAAGCAGTAGTCTTGGTGTCTGATGCTGGAGCCCAAAGTCCACAGGATAGGCAGTTTAGAAGGGAAGATGGATGTAAAGTGAAGGAGAGCAAGGACAAACTGGAAGCCATAAGCACATACTGGAACTCATGTCAGCTCTTGTCATCTCTGGCTATTATGTGTATGCCATGAGGGAGAAGCTGTTGTCCCTTGTCATGGAGTTAAATACATAGCTGGCCTAGAAACTGGGAAAGCTGAAAGAAGATCTAGGGGAATCTAGGGAAGCTGCAGGATCAGCTGCTGCCCTGAGCCACTGTGTTGAGTCAGCAGATCAATGATAATGTGCCTGAGCTGCTAAAACAGCTGCCTCTACCTTTCTAAGGTGAAAAACAATATGGCTGCTGCTTCACTTCCACACTCTGCGTCTTGTACAAATATGTCTCCATAGTACATCCTGATGTGCAACGTATAGGCAGGGCTGGCAATATCATTTGCAGGGCTAGTGTGAAATGAAAATGTGGAGCCTCTTGTTCTGAATACAAGAGAACTGCTTTTACCTTTCTTCTGCTATCTCATGGGACGCTCATGGGGTGAATGCACACCTCACAGGTGCCTTAGGCCCTGTACCATGACTCAGCATCCAGAGACCACATCGCCAACGCTCCCTACCACATGCCCAGTACCCGACCAGGGGTGGAGGGTGGCAGCAGCCAATATGAGGGGGAAGGAGAATCCTAGGGAGGTGGTAAGAGGTAGGATGTCGTGTGACCCAAGGCTCCAAGCCTCCAGGACATGCTCCAGCAACCCACTGGGCTTCACTTTTAAAACACAAATTCAAAGATAAAATTGGTAAGAAATTTAACAGAGAGCATTGAACTCCAGTGTGGGGCCACTTTTGAGAACAGATCCCTGTGCAGTTGCACTTTTTTGCAAATCCATCAAGCCTGCCCTGCATACAGGGAAGGGAATTCTGGGAAGTGTAGTTTAGCCTAGCCAAGTTGACACATTACAAAGCCACCACACCGTGCACACTGCACTTTTTTCAAGGGCAATATCATTATGTATTGAAGCAAATAAAATGAAGGGCTATGCACATAGCCTTGTTATTTTTCTGACAGTCTGGTAGACATAGGCACAATCCTTACTGTGGCATTGTCACCAGTGTTTCTGAACTGCTGCTTCCCCTTGGACCAAGACTTTTAACATTGTTGAAGACATGCTATTACTCACCTGTGCCAGTCCTTTATAATTGAGAACTCTAAATATTATAGTTGGGTTCCACTGGCTGATGGGGATATTTGTATAATTGAATTTTCCACCTCAATAATGCAGTCTTTGAGATTTCTCAGATGAGATGTTACAAGATGCATGCTGACCATCTTCTTGGGAAAAGTAGCCCTCTATGGGCCTCGACCTCCTTACCTGTCTAGTGCAAGGCCCTGAGTACTCTCTTCCTGAGCCATTGCTCACAGCTGTGCTTGCAGAGAACAACCTTAAGAGATGAGGTAATGTCACATTCTGGGACAAAGAGCAGGATTGCTATAAAAGTACTGGATTCCCCAGGTTTAGTGTTTATATTCATTTTCTAGGGCTGCCATAACAAAGGACCACAGACTGGGTGGCTTAAACAGCAGAAATATTTTCTTATAGTCCTAGAGTCTAGAAGTTTAAGATCAAGGTATTGGCAGGGTTGGTCTCTTCTGAAGTCTCTCTTCTTGACTTGTAGATGGCCACCTTCTCTATATATCTTCACATGGTCTTCCCTCTGCACCTATCTGTGTTCAAATTTCCTCTTTTTATAAGCACAACAGTCATATTGGTTTGGGGTCAGCCCAAATGACCTCATTTGAACTTAATTATCTCTTTGAGCACCTTATCTCTAAATACAGTCACACTGAAATGCTGGGGGATTAGGATTTCAACATATTCACTAGGCGGGAGACAAAATTCAGCAGTGTTCCCTTCTATAACACCACCCAAGCCCTCCACATCATCACTGCAGGACTTTGGGGTCAAGAACACAATGAACACAAATCATGCTGCTTGCTGCGATATGAGTAATAAAGCCTTTTGTCTCTGACCCAGGGATCTTTTGTCTTCTGCTAGCATCCACGAAACAGTAACAGGCTAAACTGTGAGACTGTAAGTAGGGTAAAATAAGTTCCAGACATGATATACCTTGCATGTGGTATTGAAAACAAACATCCTCAATAACTTCTCATGATGGATCCACAAGTAACAATGACAGTGATTTTTTTTTTTAC